TTGGGGACTGGGATTCTTTAGATATTCAACCGCAGCAAGCCCACATCTGCCACTTAACATCATATTGAGCAAAACCCAACACATCGGTAGATCTACAATATTAGCCTAATATCAGTTCACACACAGGCTTATCACCGTGTTAGTTGTAGTGGGTGACTTACTAGTATCCAACAAGCTACGGTATTAAACAAGCTACCAAACAAGCTAACGTTAGGTAACTTTATAATCGCTCATGGAAAAATAAATTGGATATCATCATTTTTTTTTTTGTCATGACTAATTTATTAATGATCCAGCATAATCTGTATTAAAGAGAAAGAATCACTTCATCCAATGTTCAAAGTGAATAAAATAGCCTTGACAGCCTACTGTGTTCTCTCCCACCGCCCACGGAACTCACTCCTGTGTGTTGGTAAAGTAAAGGGGGAAAGCAGGCAGTGGACTAAACCACTGTGAGGCAAGGAAGGGGGGACTCAAAACGTTCTAAAATATATATATTTTTTTACTACTTACACAATAATTTTAAGTATATGTCATTAAATTATTTACAATACACAGAGTGGTTTGTAAAGATATTTGAGGGGGGAGCAAATTATGCCCGAGTCTGATGCATAGTGGCCATCACAGACTGTTAGTTGTAGTTGTGATGTAACCATGTCAGGATCTCCAGAATATTCCTATTGTCTTTTATAGACAAGTTATGTAATTAATATATATATACATACATGCATACATACATACATACATACAATTATTATTATTATTATTTTGAAGTAAAAAAAAACTTGACATTTTCTTTAGTTACATATTGTTTCTATAGTTAAATATATAGTTAAATATTGATTTCTTCATAAGGTCACCTTTAACCCTGAAGCAATGTGGTTCAAAGGTGCAACATTGTTAATTATTATATCAGGGTAAAGTCTTAATCCAACCAAATACTCTAAAGTTGAATATTTACATAAAAGACAATTTACATATATTAGTAATTAAATGGGACTGTTGAAGTCCAGACCACACAAGGGCGTAATGTACAGCTTAAAGCTACAGTCCGTAACTTTTTTTGGTTAAAAATGATCCGAAATCAATATTTGAGCAAGTACATAACCAGACAGTGTTCAAAACTATCACCTTACTTTAGCCCGATTCACAATGGTTAGCTTATAATAATGTTTTCTAATTTGAGTGGTATGGGTAGGTTTTCGTGGGTTTACGTCTGTAAACATAAAGAAGTTGTCCCGGCTACTAGGCTATCACATGTGAGGATCCTGCAGGTGGCGGATCGTTTGTAGTCTTTTCTCACAGCAGCTAGAATAATTAAATGTATCAATTTGATGGCGGATTGCTACTCATCACGCAATGCTGATGTTGTTAACATCAATAATTTGAGAATAAAGTATAACAATAATAATAATTTGAACGGTTTGATGTGATATGAGCTAACCGATCCCTGGTGTTGTTGGCGTGCGGCAAGCGGTGGCAGAGTTCGCTTGCAGCGACGAAGGCAAGTTGAATGCTGGCCGGTAGACTGAGTTGCGGCACCGGTAGTGAGTAGCCATACAGCGGTGCGTCTGGTGTTGGTTCAACAACTCGTGAGTATGCCTCTCTTGTGTTTCATATTTGGGTTTTGTGAATGTAGATTTAGTCTCGTATTCCTTGTTTAAAGGTAAAGGGGACATATCAAGATTTCCAAGCCCTGTTCCTAGCCAAGGACTTCCTGCGATGTCGGGGCAGAGGTGAGCCTACTCTTCAACTCCTCGAAGCTCCCCTGACACTGCTCGGTCCACACCGCCCCAAAACTCGACTCTGCTCGCGCCCTGGGCTTACGACCCGCAAACTCAGCTACAAGCCGGTGCAGAGGAGCCGCCAACTTGGCAAAACCCTCTACAAACCGCCTATAATAACTGGCGAACCCCAGGAATGAACGGAGCTCTACCACCCCCGTGGGGCGCTGCCATTGCCTCACTGCCTCTATCTTGCTTGGATCTGTCGACACCCCCTTGGCAGAAATTACGTGTCCCAGATAACTTACCTCTTGCTGGAAAAACATACATTTGGTTAATTTAGCCTTCAACCCCTCCCGCTCCAGCCGACTCAAAACCACCTCTAACCGCTCTAGGTGTTGTGTCACAGAGGAGGAAAACACTACTATATCATCCAAATACAACAGAAGGGACTGACACTGCTGGTCCCCAAACAACCTCTCCATCAACCTCTGGAAGGTGCTTGGGGCATTGCAGAGCCCGAATGGCATACGATTCCATTCAAAAAGACCAAAGGGTGTACAGAAAGCAGTCTTGTGTTTATCCCCCTCAGTGACAGGAACCTGGTTATACCCACTGGCGAGGTCCATGGTGGAAAACCACCGGGCCCCCGTCAGGGAGTCCAAGGTTTCCTCTATACGCGGCAGAGGGAAAGCATCCCTTCGTGTTTTCGCGTTCAGTGGGCGGTAATCTACACACATACGTAACGTGCCATCCTTCTTTTTGGCCAACACGATGGGGGAGGCGTAAGGACTACAGCTCTCTCTAATGATATTTGTTTCCAGCAACTGGTTTATGTGTGTTTTTACTACATCGTACTCAGACGGAGGTATCCGCCGGTACCGCTGTCGAATGGGGACAGAGTCGGTCAAAGGGATGTCATGAGACAGAAGTTGAGTACACCCCAAATTGCCTGCATGCGCCGCGAAAACCATATGAAATTTTAACAACAGAGACCTTACCTGCTCCTGTTCGATCTCAGTTAACACAGACAAATCAAGACTCTTGATTTGTTCCTGCACTGGAGAAAGAACAGTAGGAATCTGAAGGTTTACCGCCGCAGAAACAGATTTAACTTCTGAGACGCCAGGGGGCATACTCACAATAAATACGCTGTGCAACGTGCCCAAGACAGCGTTCCGAAAAAGCATTATGTCAGTCTTACCTACGTTAATGACAGGTACATAAACCGTGCCCCGAGTCACTCGCGTTAATGCAGGTGATGCTACAAGACCTGCAGGCAACCCAGTTTCTGGTGGTTCAAAAAGCACGGTTTCCCCAGCAAAATGCCCAGAGCAAGTAGCAGCCACAACTTTTATTGTGCCGCCCGGAACACAATACTCACTGCGACCCCGCAATCGCACCTTGCCTATCCGGCTATCTGTAGGGACAGCACTTACCTGTCGACAATGTTGTAATGCTTGAAACACTGGCTTAGAAGCCCCTAACACCGAAGGTGCATCAAATAGGGTGGTACCGTGCTGCCCAAAGAGCTCCTGATAGCACCGGCTCAACACATTCATCCCCAAAATACCAGGGACTTGGATACCGGTGCCACCAGGAGGATCCCTTACCACCAGCACACCACATCCTGGGATCATCCGACCGCAAAGCTCAACGTCCAACTCAAGATAGCCAACATACGGTATCAACGACCCATTGGCTGCACGGAGCTGCAACCACTGACATGCCCTGAGACGATCCTGGCCCCATGGTGCAAACTGTTCTAAAAAATAACTTTCCATCATTGTAGACACCATGGAGCCAGTATCGATCAAACAGGGCACCTGCACCCCTCCCATACAAACAACGAGGTGAGGACATGATGCCATTAAATGCGGCAAGGGACCTAACATCATTGAGTCACTATCTTTCCCTACCGAACTGTGACTCTGCAGTTCGGCGGGACCTAGTTTTCCGTCGGCTGGGAAAAAGTCTGTCGAGCCCTCATCATAGAAGGCGACTCACGTCGAACTAGGGAGGAAGGAGAAATAATGCGTTCTCCATCACATTCACAGGCAAAATGGCCTGGTTTTTGACATCGGTGACAGATTAATACCTCCGTACGGGAGGGCCGACGAACATGCTGAGGAATCCGCATACCGGCAATACTCTGAGTAAGTTGATCTAACTGCTGCTGCTGTGATTTTAACATCTCCCGCAGCTCCTTCACCTCTGACTGAGAATGCCCTTGCACCCCGTACTGGATGCCGTAAGCTATTGGAACTGACTGACTCCTACCCCTCGCACCCCCTGGCGTCCCCTCCCGTTCCCACCTAATCGCCTCCCCACGTATTTCCAAAAGGGTAGAGGCGGGCTGGCGGCGAACCAATTGCTTCAGTTCCCGGCGGAGCGCGCTATCGGTAACGTACTCGACAAACTGATCGCGCAATACAATTTCAGCATTAAGAATAGCATTCGGTGATTGCTGTTTAACCTTCTCCAGGAGAGTCATCAAGGCCAGGGAAAACTCTAACAGCGATTCCCCATCTTGCTGCCTCCTGGAGAAAAAAGCTTCTTGGAGTGCTACATATGATTGGGAGCAACCATACAATTCACGTAAAATCACAATAATTTTATCTGGATCACCCCGTTCCCCACTGGGACGGTGTCTAATCTCTTCACGCGCTTCACCTTCCAAATGGTCGAAGAGAAAAAATGCTTTATCAGCTCTAGACAAATAACGAGCCCGCACACATGCCTCAGCCTCCTCCACCCACTCATCAATACCAGTGCCGGATTTACCACTAAATTTTGGACACCGTCTGTCCCTAGGCACAAAAACAAACCGGTCCGGCACAGCAGCATCAATCTGGGCTGGCTGGGGAGGGTCAGGCATTACTGCAGAGGCAACAACAGGCACAGTACTTGGACCAGGTAGCTCACCTAGCACCCGCTCACGACGCAACTGGTCATTGTCGGCTCGCAACTGTGCCACTACTTCTCGCAACTCCTGCATCTCTTCCTCCATACTTGTCATAGCTACATTCACTCCAAAACTAGAAAAGGGCCACCGATGGAGGAATACAACTTGTCCCAAAGGTCGAAATGCACGCTGCTGTTTTGCTCTGAGGAAAGAAAGAAAACACAACCAACATCAAAACACAATTTCACCCACGTCTCACTTAATCTCTGCCTTACCAGGTAAATCCTGCCGACTGCGCCAAAATGTGGCATAATCAAGTGGAAGGAAATATTAATATAATTAGACATTGCCGACTACACCAAAATGTGGCATGAATCAAGTGGAAGGAAATATTAATATAATTAGATTTATCCGACTACGCCACCCTGGTGGGAGGCCAGGGAAATAATTCCCAATAAAAGGACACACAGGTAAATTTCACCAATTGAAGGCAAAGAGACAAGGGAGACGCGAGTATCGATACAAGAAATACACTTTATTATAAAATAACCCGCATCAAATAAAATTCTCTCACGAAACACACCCACAATGGTAGGAATAGCTTCCGGGGCCAGGATTAATGGGAACAAGGCAGGCCGGCCGCAACTCCGGAGGTCGTCCAAAACCCACCTCAGTTCACAGCAAATCAGATACCACACACACCCGTCCTAGGGAAGTTATATCAGAGCACCCACAGCACACCGTGAAACACCGCCGAATAAAGCAGCTAGCCTACCCTGTTCCACACAAGTCCTCACTGGCCCCTAGACAGAAAAACACTTATAACGAAATTCAAACAGACATCATATGAAATATTATAAGTAAAGACAAACACCTAATTTTACAGACACTGTGTTGTAGCAGCTTCGACACTCGGGCCTCCAGATGACACACGTACAAAACAGACAGATAACCAGCACCTAAATGGCACTAGAAAACTGAATCCATGAATAAAGAAACACTTTACAGTAAATACATAACCAGAAAAATAAAACAAATGAATACTACAGATATAGCTACAAAATAAAGCAACCCAAATACAAAAGAAACAAAATAGCCACCAAACTAATCAAACAAATATAGCAACAAATTACTCTGTTGACAAAGGAAATTAAATCAAAGAAATTAAACTAATAGAAAACCTGGCGGACACAATGCCCAGAAGTTAACGTTACAGCCCCCAACGACTCGCGGAGCCGCAAACCCATTAACCACACAAATGACCGTCCGCGACACGATCAAATAAAACCAGAAAATATCCCTGAGCAAAACAGCAGCGACATCGCAGGAAGTCCTTGGCTAGGAACAGGGCTTGGAAATCTTGATATGTCCCCTTTACCTTTAAACAAGGAATACGAGACTAAATCTACATTCACAAAACCCAAATATGAAACACAAGAGAGGCATACTCACGAGTTGTTGAACCAACACCAGACGCACCGCTGTATGGCTACTCACTACCGGTGCCGCAACTCAGTCTACCGGCCAGCATTCAACTTGCCTTCGTCGCTAGCACGGAGCGCAACAAACAGTAAATACCACGACTAAGGTGGTCATAAAAAGAATTAAAAACCAACCCTACCTGCAAGCGAACTCTGCCACCGCTTGCCGCACGCCAACAACACCAGCCCCACTCTAAATTAAACTGGATAGGAATGGGAACGGAAACGGAAATGCCAGGGAGAGAAAGAACCCCAAGTCAGCAGGAACATACCCCCCCGTCAAAATAAGGGCCCTAAAATAGGACGGCTGCTACCACCTCATTGGTCTGCCAATCATACCCCAACCAACCAATCGGATGAAAGGACTTATCCTGCCACACGATCTTTAGATTAAATCACCATTGGTAGCGCGCTTTATTGTAATGCTTTGCTTTTTTCTTCAGTTGGTCAGAACAAACGTGGCAGACTTGTTACTTACTTGTTCAGATGGCAATATACACATACTCCTCAAAACATTAGATTCATCCATGCTGGAGCCGTGCCGACTCACAACCCACGCAAGCTAGATAATTCCGCACACAGCTGCAATTGCAGGTTTTCAAACAGAGATGGCGACAAAGAGGCAAAATTTACGGACTGCAGCTTTAAAGTGGACATTTGGGACAGGCGGGGTCTGATGACGGAGCGCGCGCGGATTCGCCTGAGCATTTGCACAAACAATAATGCGATGGATCAGCAGGATGGCAGAAGCGCGTTCCCGACCCAGTGCGCGCGGCTGAGGGTGACCCATCATCAGGAGCTATGCTGCCTTCATCAAACACCGCATCCCTGAGCCTGTGGCCCGCATACCCCCGCTGAAGCTCGAGTATGCTATCGCCTCGCTCCCGCTGCTGGAAGCTCCACACATGCGTGCAGAATGTATTTCAACAGACGGTCGAAAAAAATCCACAGCGAGGGAGGTAAACATGACATAATCTGCTGACATGGGCGACGTATATTGGCACTGTTTACGCATGTGTTTTCTTCGGTGCTATGTTGTACCATATTCGCATGTTCATCTATGTGTAAATTATTATTTGTTATATAATACACACACACACATACAGTATATCTATATCTATGTATACACACACACACACACACAGGTCTCTTGTAGGTGACCTGTCATTTTCGCTGTGTAAACAAATGGGTTACTAGGGTGATGTAACCTACGGTTTTCATAAATTCAGAAATTTCAGAAATTAAAAATGTTATAATGATGAAAACATTTTTAGCATTAACTTCAAGCAATATACCTTAAAATGACCTTCCTTAATATTTATTTGTAAAAATATTTTTAAGGTCCTTTTAAATTATTGTTTTCAAATGTATGCAATATACACTGGGGGAAAAAAACAATTGAAACAAATTACAAATTAAACAGCATGAAACAAAAACTGAAAGTGATTGAAAGTGACAAAGACTGAAAGCGTAGCGTGTAAGCTTCAAATGCATGCAATATATGGCAAAAATGAAAAGATCCACTTGATATTTCTAAGAATCTGTTTTGGATTTTAGCAACAAGGTCTGTTTTATGCAAGAAAGCATTGATTTCCAAATGTAGGTTCCAATCCATGCAATGTAGGTTCAAAATCAAAAGACTGCAAACCACTGAAAGAAAATCACTTACTGCATCACTGCAGCCTTTTAAAGGCTCTGCTCTGAATGGAAATGAGCTATTAAGAGAATTATTATTATTATTACAAATCTTAGGAAAAGCTAATATATCATTCTTCAGACATCAGTGTACTGCCTGTTAGGTTTCAAAGTATGCACCAAACAGGGGCCAAGAGTACCTCGCAAGTACTGTCCACGGCTCTTGAGATTTGAATGTTGGTGGCAGGTTTGGGAGATTGCAGAGCTTTTTGGCAGCAGGTCTGTTCCAGCATATGTTTAATCGGCAGGGCTTTGTGGGGTGATGACACTTGAGGGTGGAGTCTTTTTGACAGACTGACACATATGCGTTGTGGATTACACTGAGCGTTTGTTTGGCCTGCTCTGACCCAGCATGTTCCGGAATTAGCATGCAGGGGCCATATTGTTGGTAACCTAATTTGTAATGAAACGTGTGACTCTGGGTTTTCTTATCAGTTGGATACCTTCGGTAAAGTTGCATTTGGGCAGTGTGATTTATTTATGCCTTGAAGAATTATCTTTCAAAAGCCATTCATCAAAGAAAGCAGTTTGCTGTGATTGTAAGTCCCCTCAGTTCTGCTCACCTCCACAGATGACTGATAGATGTTTTCCTTCCACTTTGTTCGTTCGTGTACAAGTTGGAGCAGAAGCAAAATAACATGCATGTCAAATCAAGTGCTTCTGAATACATGGTGTGATTAGAGTGTGCTGTTTTAACAGTCATTTGACAAAAGATAACCCTCTGATGTAACGTTTGGGTTGGGTTTCATCAAAGAGCCCTGTTTTAGTGATCATCCCGCACTGTTCGGTGTTTCTGCGCATCACTTTTAAAGGCCACATGGGGGCAGCAACTGTAAACGCATCACTCATGGTAGGAAACTGATCTATTTTATTGACTTCTTAAAATGTAAATAAATATTAATATATATCACACTAAACTGATGGACTGCAGATAAGTTAAATTTTTTTTTGTATTTACATCAAAATATAAAGCTGTATATAAAATAAACACGCATTATACTTTTTGTCATATTTTTCTCTTTGTCTGAATGCCAGGAGGGTTACCTTAGAAACGCTGTTTAAGGGTTCTACTTCTACAAACGCTTTGTCAAACGATGCTTCTTTTAAAATAATTAAATGAATAGAACTACATTAAGCTAATGAAGGCAAAAGGAATACGTGAAACAATTGACTGCTTAAATCATTCATTGCTTGAAATACTACTAAACATTAGCCATTAGAGCTGGTGTTTGTAACTATTCCTCGCCTGATTCAAACAATGTTTTGTAAATGATAGTCATCTACATTATACAGATTCAGCATTGTGGAAAGATGATAGGAGAAAAATAAATATTTACTCAACATTTAATTTAATTTTAATTTAATTTTTTACATTAGCAAAAGTCTGCTCACTCAGGTAATTATAAATCCAGTTTGAATTATTCTCACATTAAGCTTTTTTTATTTGTTTATTTATTTTTTAATTATTATTATACACAACTATTTCAAATTGAGAGACGTTTTAAGGGGAAAGACGGCACACATTTAAAGCATTGCTTTTTCATTTAATGTAACAGAGTGGTTTATCATGTTAGACAGAGAAAAATTGACTTGCTTTGTGTTGTAATGTGAGACATTATTAACTTAAAGGTGATGAGTGGAAGCCAACAAGCTAAAGGTAATATATTTTATCAAATAACCTTTTTATAATCAACAAGAATCTTTTTGACATGTCAGGTGCCCCTTGACAATGTAAAAAAAATGCTTTCTATTGAGAAAGAGTTCTTTTAAATAGTAACGGTTGTATCGACCAGTGACCATTTCTCATCCCTAACAGCATTTTTAAGAGTTTTGCTCTGTGGTCTTACTGACTTGATATCTTGTGTTGTTTTTTTCTTATGGCAACCCTTGTTGGGCTCCTCCAGAACAGTTAGTGTTGACCCCTCTTAGCCAGGACTCCCCCCTCTGGCAGGACCAGCCCGTGGGCTCCAACATGTGCCCCCACCTGGCAGACAGGTTTGAGAAAAGTGAGTGCCCTCCCCAAGCGGGCCGCTGCCTCCCGCTACTGCTTGGAGCCTCACAGGTGCATGAAGCCACCCCTTCCTTCAGCCCACACTGCATGGATAGACTAATAAAGCTAAAGTTCTCTGCACTCTTTCATCACATGCACACAGACATGGCATGCATTAGGGCTGGGCGGTATGACGCTATATATTGTGGCGATGATTTCAAGTGTGTATTCGTAGAGATATTGCGTTATATGTTAGTGTGTTAAAGAAATATGTTTGAATGAATAAATAAAGCGAGAACTGCTTGATGTGAAAAAGAGTTATTGAATGCTTGAATGGTCAAATACACACACATTTATGTCAAAATGCCCATTGAGAGGAGTATTTATGTAAACACAGTCAGTTATGTCTGTTTAAGTGAACATAATCAGTTGGTAGAAAATCATATATGTATCAATACATTGGATCCGTGCATGAGGTCTTAAAGGAATAGTTCACCCCAAAATGAAAAATTTGCGAAAATGTACTTACCCTCAGGCCATTCAAGATGTAGATGTGTTTGTTTCTTCATCAGAACAAATTTGGAGAAATGTAGCATTACATCACTTCCTCACTAATGGATCACCTGCAGTGAATGGGTGCCGTCAGAATGAGAGTCCAAACAGCATAAAAACATGAGCTAATAAAAACATCATAATAATCCACAAGTAATTCACACAACTCCAGTCCATCAATTAACATCTTGTGAAGTGAAAAGCTGTGTGTTTGAAAGAAACAAATCTTTAAAGGGATAGTTCACCCAAAAATGAAAATTTTGTCATCATTTACTCACCCTCATGTCGTTCCAAACCTGTATGAGGTGCTTTCTTATGTTGAACACAAAAGAAGATATTTTGAAGATTGCTGGTAATCAAACAGTTGGTGGCAACATAAGAAAGCAACTCATACAGGTTTGGAACGACATGAGGGTGAGTAAATGATGACAGAATTTTCATTTTTGGGTGAACTATCCCTTTAAGACGTTTTTACTTAACTCGCTTTAGGCGAGTCCATAATCCATAATAACATGGGAGTCCATAATCCAAAAATAACACTTCCTCCTGTGAAAAAGTCCTCTCAAATAAAAATATATCAACATATTTGTTTTGGACTGTTTTTGCTAATAAATGGTGCTTGATCTATGCATATTTCACTCATGATTCAGATAAAACAACTTTTTCACTGGCAATGTTATTGGTTAATAACATCTTAAAGATGAATTGGTTTCTTACAAACACACAGCTTTTCTCTTCACAAGACGTTAATTGATGGACTAGATTCATTGTGATGTTTTTATCAGCTGTTTGGACTCTTATTCTGACGACACCCATTCACTGCAGAGGATCTGTTAGTAAACAAGTGATGTAATGCTACATTTCTCCAAATCTGTTCCGATGAAGAAACAAACTCATCTACATCTTGGATGGCCTGAGGGTGAGATAATTTTCAGTGAATTTTCATTTTTGAGTGAAGTATTACTTTAAAGTGTCAGCAGCCTAATAAACCTGCTGCCATCTGTGTCAATAAAGTTAATCAAACAACAAAAGAAAAAGAGAAAGTAACTCAAAAAATGTTATACTCTTGACTGAACTTG